AGATTATCTGCTCAGGTCCCTTCCAACCCTAGAAACTATTAAACCTAGAAACTATGAAATAGCTAGCATTATGTCTGCCCAGCTTTGAGAATGCAAGAAACAATTTAAGCCATGTTTTCATCAACTTTAAATTAAACTAGGTATTATTGTACCATAGTCTTAAATTAGCATCAGTTACATATCAAAGCAATTATCATTTCAAACTGTAGCTTTCCAACTAATTGTAAATAAAGCCAGTATTATTTTTAGTTGAGGGTTTCCATAGTTGCAGCATTACCTGGCATATCTAACTAACTTCTAAAGGAATAAAGACCAAAAACAGATTCTTGCTGTCTTTTTATGCTCAGTCCCATACTACTACCATCAAAACAAAGGAAAAGTCTACCTATTCTTACAGGCTAAATCATTCCCAGATATTGGCACATCCCAGTGCAACATACCTTAAAAGAAAAAGAATTTAGTGCTTGCTGCTCAGTTAAGGCAGTTTTTGACCCCAAGCTCCAAAACTCAGCTGAATGTAGGAGACACAAGACAAATCTTACTTTTTGCAACTTTTTTCTTCCAAAATGTATTCTGGCTCAATTTTTAGGTGGAAGAGTAAAAGCAAAACTTGTTTTCTTAGTTTATATAACAATTTCTGTCTGGATAATATTTGCAGGAACTGGCAGATTGCAAACGCTGGTTCCAAGTTTTTGTGATATAGCCATATGAGAAGCTACACTTGTAAAGTGCACCAGTTCAACTCATGTAATTCATTTTTATTATTATTATTTTATTGAAGCAATTGATTTTGAAGGACTGGGGACAAAAACCTGGCTGATCCAAGTTTACCTTCTCTGCTGTACCAGGATTCATCTTCGCCCAAATATTATCAGTGCAATGGAAGTATTTGCTCTTTACAGAAGTATTAGAAATTAGAGGGAGTTAGGAGAAGATAAAAATGATCTGAATCCAAGTGGGACTAGGTTTTACCTTTTCCCAGGTGTTTTGCTGGCTAACTAATGCATGGGTGGGTCACAGAGTGTAACAGCTAAGGTGGTAACAATTGACTCCTAGCCTCTTCGCAGCTGTTTCCTTTTCATAATGATAAAACCTTAATGGGTTAGGGATGAAAACTGCAATTTGGGTTAAACTGGGATTCTTAATTTGTACCTACGTTATAGTGGAAAGGGTTGAATTATAATAAGGTATCCTCTTTTTTCCCCAGGACTCTGGTCCTTTTTCTCTTCTTTGTGGGAAAAGAAATGGTGAGTTAAGATGATTTCTCTGAGGCTGTAGCAAAGGTTTGGGTGGGTTTTTGTTAGGGCTGCATTTTGTTTTTCAGTGGGTGACTGGGAATGGTGAGAAGCTGGTTGGTCCCTGATAGCAGCTATATCAGCCTTTTGGGACTTTCTATAGAAACTGTCTGGTTAAATAATAACTTGCTACAGGATATAGTAATAAAACCTCATTATCTGCCATATATATATATATATATATATATATATATATATAGATATGTGTGTGTGTGTTGCTGTTCCTGACTGAAAATGTGAATTTCCAGGAAGGTAGACAAAAAAACAACCATGTACTAACAAAGGGAAAGCTTCCCTTTCTTCCTTCTCCTCTCACAAGCTTCTTCCAGCAGATTACTTCATCTTAACTATAATGAACAGATAAATTAAAATCTCTTAACAGCTTTGCCATTTTTTAAAAATGTTATGTGCATGTTGTCTCTAGTGGCTTGTGTGTAGGGGGGTTGGGTTTTGTGGTTTTTTTTTTTTTTTTTTCTAAAAAACACAAATTTGGAGTGATGTAGTGTTCATTTTAAAATAAAGTCTAGATCAGGTTGAACTAAACATTCTTTGCCTTCTGGCTTTTAAAAGAACCCAAAACTCTTCATCTTCTAAAAATTTTATGACTTTCTGGGAGCCTGAGTCAGCATTTTTTGCATGCCTGGGGGTTGGCAATACTGTACTCTCATAGCTGGAGGGCAGTAGTTCGGAAAAACTTCAAACTGGTTTGCTGGATGCAATCTGAACCAATCTCTGCATTTAATATACAAAAAAAAAGTTTCCTTTAAACTAAAAGAATGTACCATAAAGGGGGGGGGGGCATGTGTGTATGTTTAACTTCTTGGTGTAGATGTAATGATAGCTCCCTGATGGAAACCCCATTTTTAAACTGTTGTAGTCATAAGTTTCTCTGTTTTAACCATTTGGGTTTTTTTCAGCACTCTCTATTTTAGCTAACTAAATATATTAGAAAACATCTTAATTTACTACTTCTGCACCTTTTTGTCTGGTTAATAGACTTATGACTGGATCATAAGAAAATGACTTAAATATCAATTTTTAAAAGTAAAGATGCCTTCCTACAATTTAAGGGAAAAAAATTTGCCTTTACCTGCAGCTGTAGAACAATTTGTGCACAGCTATTAAATTTCCTTTGCCTCTGGCAAAAAGAAACCCCATTTTGTGTAGAAAGACTAGTCATGCACTTGAATGTGAGACTTGTGTGACCATGAGCTTTCTCCCTGTGTCTCTCCCCTCCCCTGTCCCCGCTCCAGCTCTGCCACTGGTCTGCTTTCCTCTATAAAGCACTTTGCCTTCTGCTTGAAGAGCATCGCTGTTGTGAAGCTGGGGAGCACTGCTCATGTAAATATTAACTAGTATGCCTGAAGTTCAACTCCAGTTATTTAATGGGCAGTGACTTGCCTCTTGTATCTGTATATATTGTTAGTACACAAATGTGATCTTCATTCAGATCTTTATACATGGCAGCCTGTCTTGGAACATACACCATATGGATTATATAGAAAGGAAGCCAAATCCATAAAACCTGCCTCCCTTGTGTGTAGGGCTGCTTCTAGTGGCATAACAGAAAGCTTTATGCACAGTTTCTGGTCTTCCATGTCCTGGATACTGCTATAACTATCTCTTCCCCCCCCCCCCCCC